TCTGCCAACCTGATTGTCCTAGAGACATTTGTACACTTTGCCTAAAATCCATAAGAATCCAACCAAGGAGTGGTTTATGTCGAATAAAATCCCTAAAGGTCGCCCGATTATATCTGACTGTGGTAGTGAGTCATATGCAGTGTCAGAATACATTGATCATTTCTTACTACCCCTAGCATGTCAACACCGCGCCTACCTTAAAGACACAACCGATTTTGTCAATAAAATAAAAAATCTTCGAGTTCCCTCTAATGCCATTTTAATTTCTATCGACGTTTTTTCTATGTATACCAATATCGATAACACTACTGGTTTAACGGCAGTTCGTAAAGCTTTTAATAGAAACCCAGATCCAAACAGACCCGACGATGCAATTCTACAGCTTTTAGAGATTTGTCTTAGTCGAAACGATTTCACATTTAATGGTAAAACATATTTACAAACTTCAGGGACAGCAATGGGCACACGATTCGCCCCTTCGTACGCAAACCTTTTCATGGCAGAGTGGGAACGTGAGGTGTTGCCCCTCTGTCCACTTGACCCACTTTTTTACGGACGCTTTTTGGATGACATTTTTATGGTTTGGACTTATTCTATCGAACAGTTTTGGGAATTCTTTGAAATTCTCAACAACCACCATCCTTCTATCAAACTAACCGCAAACATGAGTGACAAAAGTATAGACTTTCTCGATACCACAGTCTTTAAGGGAGATTCCATAGCAGAAACAAATAAACTGGATATTAAAGTGTATTTCAAAGAAACTGATACTCATCAACTCTTGCACAAGAGCTCCTTTCACCCAAAACATACCTTTTCTGGTATAATTAAGTCACAAGTTTTACGATTTCATCGAATTTGTACAAGATCTTCTGATTTCAACCAAGCCTGTACGATTGTTTTCTCAAAACTGAAAGAGCGTGGGTACTCTAAACGATTTTTACGAAACATAAAAAATTCCACCTTAGCACAGATAGCAGCTAAAAACAGACTTTATGCCGAAGTACCTCCAGGTTTAAGAAGTGCTCCATGTTTGTCCAGTAGATGCAAAACATGTCCCTTTATATCAGAAACTCATTATTTTGTAAGCAACTCTACGAATAAAAGGTACCCGATCCAGGAACATCTAACATGTGAACATTCGAATGTAATATATTTAATTTCATGCAAGAAATGCCCCAAACAATATGTAGGAGAAACTAAGAATAATTTACGAACTCGCTTTAATGCTCATAGGTCAGACATCAAATTAAAGAAAGACAAGCCTGTTTCTAATCATTTCAACCTCGACGACCATTCAATAGACGATCTCACCCTAATCCCAATTGAGCGTATAGAAATTGACTTGCCCGAAGATGAAACTACCAAATTCCGTCAATCTAGGGAGGCCCATTGGATTGAGACATTGAATACAGCAAGACCTATAGGACTAAATATTCATCATAATGTAGGCATAGCACCCTTTGTTGTCCCGTTTAATACAACCAGCAATCGAGCAAGCAAGATAGTTCATGCCCACTATAAGAGCCTTCAAGAGAAATTCCCCCATGTCTATAAGCAGAAAATGATAGTTGCATATTCAAAAAATAAGAACTTAAATGATAATATTGTTCATAGTAAACTAAAAACAATCAGTACCTAACAGATACTATACTTCTCGCCCATCGGGCGAGTTATTTTTTCTAATTTCAGATCAGAATAAGAACAGAAGAAAACCCAATATCAAGACCCTTAATCCTAATTTCTAAATAAAGTGTCTGCTCCACCCTAGGCCTGTACATTTGGGAGAATCAAACCCTCCCTTCCCCGAAAACTAACAATAATGTAAGATAATAAAAATAGAAAAACAAAAAACTTACATAGTAGCATTAATCATTGTTGGAGAGGAGTAGTATAGGGGGTGCCTGTTCCCTCATCCTATTCATTATGTATATCTTTGAATATATTTGTGAATAAAATATCGTTGAATTAAATTAATAAAAAGAAATTGCACTTCTCCCAAATGCACATATTTTTATAATGAAGTACATGTTCGGCCTGATAAACATGCTTAGAATTCATCACAAAATAGTTTGAAGTCTGCCCAGATACCGGCGCCGACGGTCTGCGTGGCTTCGAAGATGCCTTTGTGTGCACTTTTGGCATCAAAACATCCTGAATACATCTCCACAAATTTCATGTATGCATTGAAATTCCATCCGCTCTTGCGAACCTGTCGTAATCCAATGAGAAGTACAAAAATAAAAAAGAAATGCGAAAACAGGATGGGGTGAAAATAATGACGATTTAAATTTGTGTATTAATGCATCTCAAATGTAGAACTTAATCAACATCTTTCAGTTTTCACCAATTAATTTTCATTGTTGTTTCAGATCAACACAGTCAGTATGTGGAAAATCATTACAGTGTTTGGATTTTGGACTCTGACGTCATTCCTGTGTCATTATTGCGGAAAACATTTTTTGAATTCCGAAACTGAGAATGAATCAACATATAATTTTATCAAAGCCTTTATTCTTACTCTATACCAAACCTTTATGTGTTATTCTCTCATAGAAGTTAAGTTTCACAGTGATAAAGTGTATATATGTATTTCTGTATGCCATGTTTTGGCAACTTTATCAACAAACTGCAGTATGGCCCTTATGTTTGCGTCATCTACATTCGCTATCAAATTAATGGAACCCATTACCAGTGCCTGTGTACAAAGACTCTTACTAGCTACTCCGTTACATCCATCGATATTTGTTAGTCTTCCATTAATAGTAGGTGGAGCATGTATGTTTAGTGGAAACCCACTGGCCGATACATCTTTGTCTAAAGGCACCCTCATGGCTTTTCTGTCCAACGTCATCCTGGCAGTCAGAAACGCAGCCATCAAAAAGGACCAACACAATTCGTCCAGAATGAATTTACGTCCTTCTTCAACTATAGCAATGGTGATCATTTGTCATCTGGTTTTCACAACAGTTCTTTATCTTATTGAAACTCACTATGGTGCTGAAAACATTTTAACACGTGCCGTCTTTTTTACAGTATTGTCAAGTGTTTTTCATGTGGTGTATTCTTACATTTCATCAAATATAGTATTGAGGTACATGTCGGTGTTAAGTCATTCCGTGTGCAACATTATGAAAAGAGTATTAGTGGTTATATTATTGTATATAGTCGGTAGTAGACATGCCTCGTTTTCTAATTTTCTGGGCTTGATGGTTAGCACTGTTGGATTGTTTATTTATGTTGGTTTCAAAGTATCCTTGAAGAATTCTAATAATAGAGATGTCACATCCAAAGAGCAAGGTAAGGATTTGAGTTCACAGCAAAATATCCACACTGTCATTGCAAAGGACGTTAGCGAATTGGGGGAATTAATTGCACCTAGCCTGAAAAAAGTAATTAAGGGGATAACATTCTTTTCAAAAATTTCAAATTTGGTTAACGGAAGTTATCCACTGCAAATCGTCCGGGAACTTCTACAGCACCATTTTCGTACCACTTATTTTAGCATTATGTTTTCGCAGAAACTCTTGAATTTGGATCTTTTTGAGATTAAGGAAACGGTTAGGATGTGACTAAAAGTGGATTGATAGCATGAAACTGACATGTCGGTCCGTCCGTCCGTTCACATTTGCTCGTAAACACTCTAGAAGGCACAATTCTTGACTGATTTTGACGAAACTAGGTTTGAGTGTTTATAATCACCCAAGGATGAACCTTTGTGAAAATCAGAAAACATGTGGTTGCCTGGCAACAAGGGCGGTCACCAATCTGTGTCAAATCATACCAAAAATCGAATTTGTACACACAAAATTTAATAAAATTCTGACATAAACTGTCATCTCTATCTCATTTACAATTCAACAAATTTTGATGCGTTTTTCTAAAGTCAAGGGCAATAACTCAAATTCCATTGATCGAAAAATTCAAACTTTTCATTTTAAATGATCATTTAAATCGATGAAAAATGTAGT